GGACAACTCACGCGCTATGGTATTAATATCCTCACAACCAGGCCCTCGGCCTCACTCAATAATATAGCTCACTAGCCTCACCATCATCAACAAATAAGGGAACACAACTCACATCAAGTATCACAACATATTAGCAAATAATAGAGACTGAGGTAAACATGTATAATAATTTCTATGACTGAGTACAGATAATGTGAGCATGAATAAGCCTAAGCATGATCTCTAACATGAAGGCAGACAAGTTTAACAACAAGTAACTACGTAAACACAGATAATGGCCATGAGGCCTCACGGGACGGACCAAGTCTCAATCCCTCGAGATATACACCCACACGTCCGTCACCTAGCGTGGGTATCACCTCCAAATAGTCACACAATATCAAATTCTCCGGGTTTATATCCTCAAAACCAGAGTTAAAACTGTTACATACCTTAACAGCATAAAAATCCTACTCCGGGATGCCTTCATCTCTGGACTCGGTCTCCAAATTCTCTGAATCTATTCACAATCAGTACAATACCATCAATATACGCTAATGGAATGAATTCCACAAGAAAAACTATCAAATTAGACCAAAACACGAAATTGGCTCAAACCCGGCCCCCGGGCCCACGTCTTGAAATCCGAAAAAATTTACAAAACTAGAAAGCTCATTCACTCATGAGTCTAACCATACCAAATTCATCAAAATCCGACATCGTTTGGTCCCTCAAATCCTTAAATTAAACTCTTAAAAATTCCAAGCTCTAACCCCCTACTTTCACTCCAAAATCCTACTGATTAATGATGAACAAAGCCATAGATTCACGAAACTTTTTCCATTATGGGTTAGAATCACTTACCTCAACGTTACTCCTTGAAAACCTTCGAAAAATCGCCTCTCTCCCGAGTTTCTCAAATCCAAAAATTGAAAAATGAAGACAAAACCACGAACTTGGCCTTTTCTGCCCAGCACAATCGCACCTGCGCCTCTTTTTCCGCTTCTGCGAAGCCGCACCTACGGAAATTTCCATCGTAGGTGCGGAACTCACAAAAGAGCCCATATTCCGCATCTGCAGCCCAAAGCGCGCGCCTGCGCTTGCGCACCTTCGTGTTACTCTTCGCATCTGCGAAGCCAGCCCAAAATCCTCCTCTATGCATCTGCGCTCAAGGCCTCGCACCTGCGGGCTCGCAGATGCGTCCAATTCTTTGCACCTACGGTTCCCAATCTGTAGGTGCGGACACACCAGAACAGCAGCTCTAGCTGCATTTTCCAACTTCCAAACTCCCCGATACACATCTGAAATCATCCCGAGCCCCTCGGTACCTCAACCAAAAATACCAACAAGTCATATATCAACATTCCAACTTAGTCGAACCTTCGAATCACTCAAAACAACATCAAATCATCAAATTACCCTCGGATTCAAGCCTAAGAACTTCTAAATTTCCAAATTCGGCAACCGATGCCGAAACCAACCAAACCACGTCCGAATGACCTCAAATTTTGCACACACATCACAAATGACAATACGAACCTACTCCAACTTCTAGAATTCCATTCCGAACCCAATATCAAAATTTTCCACTGTCGACCGAAATCGCCAAATTTCCAATTTCGCCAATTCAAGCCTAATTCTACGACGGACCTCCAAATCACATTCTGGACGCACTCCTAAGTCCAAAATCACCTAACAGAGCTTACGGAACCATCAGAATTTAAATCCAAGATCATTTACACATAGGTCAACATCCGGTTGAATTTTCTAACTTAACTTACTAACTAAGAGACTAAGTGTTCATTTCACTCCAAAACTACTCCGGACCTAAACCTACCAATCGATACAACTCAACACTGCTGAACAACACATAAAGAAGCGGGAATGGGGAAACAGGGCTATAACTCTCAAAACGACCGGCCGGGTCGTTACAATAATGTTTAAGGTATACGTTTAAGCTTTTTATATAGCTATACTATAGATTATACACTTACTTTTGATAGATATATGGATTTCGGAAAAAAACAAATTACTATATAAGTGCAGCAAAGTATTTTGTTATAAAAGAAACAAAGATTACGGTCATGTCACGACCCAACCTCCCTCCGTATAACGTCGTGACGACACGTAGTCTCTATGACTAGGTAAGACTGACAAATTACGGAAAATAAAAAAACGAAAGTAAAACTTGGCAACTAACAACAGTGGATAACTGAGTAACTAGTAACAATGCCGCTCGGCATGTACAAAAAAAAACCAATACTCTATAAACACAGTCTTCCCAAGACCCGAAACATCGTAAGTCACAAGCTACAGAAGGAAACTAGTGTCTCTATACACCAGAGTCTAACAAAAATAATACGGAAGGTAAATGACATAGGAGAGAATATAGTGGGACTCCGAGGTCTGCGGACGCGGCAGATGTACCTTGAAGTCTCTGTACAACAGCAAGCACTCTCAGCTAGTAGCGGGGCTGATAAGAAGCACCTAGATCTGCACACAAAACATGTGCAGAAGAGTAGCATGAGTACATCACAACGGTACCCATTAAGTACCAAGACTAACCTCGGTCGAGTAGTGACGAGGTCAGGTCAGGCTCACTGGTAAATAATAAATAAGGCAGGAGAATATACAGTATAATAAGAGACTAGAATTTAACAAAAGGAAACACAACAAGGCAATAGTACAACATACAGGGGTAAACAACAGGGGATCTCCCGAGATACCATCTCGTAGTCCCAAAATAATTATACAGGGAGAACTCCCGAGGTACCGCCTCGTAGTCTCAAAATTAAATATACAGGGAGAACTCCCGAGGTACCGCCTCGTAGTCTCAAAATTAAATATACAGGGAGAACTCCTGAGGTACCGCCTCGTAGTCTCAAAAGTAAATGTGTAGGGAGAACTTTCTAGGAACCGCCTCGTAGTCTAAAAAGTAAATATAGAGGGAGAACTCGCGAGGAACCGCCTCGTAGTCTCAAAAGTAAATGTGCAGGGAGAACTCCCAAGGAACCGCCTCGTAGTCTCAAAAGTAAATGTGCAGGGAGAACTCCCAAGGAACCGCCTCGTAGTCTCAAAAGTAATCACACGGCTCAAACCGATAAATACAACAGTTAACAGCAAGATTTCTATAGTTATACTAATAAAGAACAAGGAAAAGCAAGAAAAATCAACTAGGCATGCTTCGCAGAGTTCAAATAAGCAGTTAAAGCACGTAGACATGCGATATTAGACTAAACAGGATAACTACCCATATTGGAATAGCTCAATTAAGAATGAAAACAGACTAATACTCATTTAAACGGTATAACTCAAATTAAAGGAAAAACATGTTGCTATTCAGTAAAATAAATCGGGTTATACGACAATAGCTCGTGTACGTACTCGTCACCTCACGTATACGGCGCTCACATATCACAACAGTACCAAATCTAAGGGGATTTCCCCCACACAAGGTTAGTCATGCCACTTACCTCGAACCAAGCTTAAACAATCGGTAACAATGCCTTTTCCACGAATATCCGACTCCGAATGGCCCAAATCTAGCCAAAATCAATTACATAGCATAAATACAACTATAAGAAATTAATCTAATTAATAAAATCAAAGCTAAAGCAAGAAATTAGAAAATCGCCCCAAAAAGTTGACTCGGGCCCACATCTCGGAATCGAGTAAAAGCCACAAAATATGAACACCCATTCACTCACGAGTTCACTCGTACAAAAATTATCCAAATCCGATATCAAAATCCCAATCAAAACTCAAAATCTTAGTTGAAGAACTTCTCCCACTTTTCCCAAATTTTCAACCCAAATCCAAAATTAAAGGATGGAATTAATGATAGATTAGTGGTATATAACCAAAACAAGTGAAAAATCATTACCCAATCGATGTCTCTGAAAATCCCTCAAAATCGCGTTCAAATCCGAGCTCCCTATCTCAAATTTTGATAAAAATGGCCAACCCTCGTTTTTGGAAACTTTAATACTGCCCAGACATTTCCTTCTTTGCGAACGCGGCCATACCCTCATGTTCACGAAGCACAAATTTACATCGGCCCAAAATCCTCCATCGTGAATGCGATGCCCTTGTTGCGAACACGAAGACCACTCAGCTCGACCCCACGCGAACGCAGGACAAACGTTGCGAATGCATAGGCAAAAAGGGCCTGGGGACCCAGTTGGCCAATACCTCTACGTGAACGCGGGACCTCCATAGCGAATACGTAGACCAAGTACCTCAGTGCTTCGCAAACGCGGGACCTCCATCGCGAACGCAAAGCACAAAATCTCGCCTGCCTCCAGTTCCTCTTCACGAACGCGAAGAAGGAAACCATAACAGAAGAACACCAGAAATCTGCAATCTCTCATAAGTCCAAAATGATCCGTTAACCACCTGAAATCAACCCGAGGCGACCTCAACCAAACATACCTACAAGTCCTAAAATACCATACGAACTTAGTCGAGCCTTAAAATCACATCAAACAATGCTAAAAATACGAATTGCCCTCCAATTCAAACTTAATGAACTTTGAAACTTCACTTCCATTCACAGTCCGGACACGCTCCTAAGTCCAGAATCACCTAACGGAGCTAACGAAATCGACAAAATTCTATTCCAGAGTCATCTTCACATAGTTCCGACTACGGTAAAAAATCCTAAGACTTAAGCTTCCGTTTAGGGACTAAGTGTCCCAATTCACTCTGAAACCACAACAACAACCTCCCGGCAAGTCATATAAGCAGAAAAAGATAGGAGGAAAGCAGTAAATAGGGGATCGAAGCTATAACTCTCAAAACGACCGGCCGGGTCATTACAAGTCATTTTGAATTCAAACTAAGAAACAAAAAAATAGACAGTTAGTTTACAAACTAAGAATCCCGAGAAAATTATTCTAGATTACAATTAGTTTTTTGAATGAGTGCATGTAACCTTATTGTATATAATCAATTATTATTTTTCCTGTATTTTTTTGCATAAGGATGAACTACTGCTGAATATGTGCAATTTGTTCTGTTATGCCCATATCTTTTGAAACGACCACATCTTGATTCCTTCTTGAATTATGTACAGGAGACATGTCGATTCTTCTGTCTTCTTCCTAGCATAACTTTTGCATCCGGAGGCTTAGTGATTTCTGATTTAATAGTATCTGGTATAACCCATATTGTTGAATCACCTACAAAATTTACTTGCCCTTCATATGTTTTCAACCAAAATTCTCTTGTATAATAGGCGGAGTAGAAAGCCGATATCTTTTGATATATACTGTCAATTGCAGCAATTGCATGTTCACAGAGTATCTCATCTAGCTGAAATTCAGAACAATCACATGTTCTCTTGTCTAAATCAACAATAAATTCCATACCCCCTTCTTTGACTTTGAATTTTAGTCTATCAATCGGCAATACTCTAAATGTAAAAGCTGGTTTAATTTTGTCTTCCAATGTTGCTTCTGCCCAGTTTGATATTTCACGGAATATTCCTTCTGCTGTTGTCCTTCTTTCATAGAACCAGATTTGCAATTTTTCTTGTATGTAATCCATCATTGTTAAAAGTGGCAATTCTCTTGCACGTCTCAAAACATTATTCATTGACTCAACAATGATTGTTGTTAGCATATCATATCGTGATCTTGGACAATATGAACGAGCCCATCTTCCTGGTGTTTCCTCCATTAAATAGTCGATTGTTTTCTTATCAACAACAGCTATTTGGGACATAAAGTCATCAAATTCTGATTGAATGTATACTCTCGCAGCACTTTGAAACAAGTTTATTACAGTGTTTCTCACTCTTCTTTGCTTTAAACTCTTCTCTAAATGATATATTCAAATATCGTGGTAGCACTCAGGGAAAACTTTTGCAATTCCATTTGCAATGGCCTTGTGTCAATCTGACAAAAACATTAAATCTTTACGAATGCCCATTGCTTTTCTTAATTCTCTGAAGTACCATTCATATGACTCGTTATTCTCTGAATCCGCTACCCCAAATGCTATAGGGAAAATCTGGTTATTTGCATCCTAACTGCCACTAATAGAACACCTCTATATTTATTTTTTAGAAATGTTCCATCAACAACAATAAGTGGTCTACAATACTTCCACCCAGAAATTGATGCCTCATTCATAAAAAACATGCAAACAAACCTGTTACATTGAAAAGTAAATAAAATTTAGTTTTACGGTATGACAAGTTGAATACTAATGGATATTAGCAGATGTGTATTTCTACTATGAATTTAACGTAGTAGCAAAATTATCACGACCCAAACTCCCTCTGTATAACGTCGTGATGACACCTAGTCTCTACGACTAGGTAAGCCTAATAAATTGCGGAAAATAACAAAACGAAAGTAAAACTTGGCAACTAACAGCAGTGGATAACTAAATAACTAGTAACAATGTCGCTCGTCATGTACAATAACCAATACTCTATAAATACATAGTCTTCCCAAAACCCAGAACATCATAAGTCACAAGCTACAGAAGGAAATTAGTATCTCTATACACCAGAGTCTAACAAAAGAAGTACGAAAGGTAAATGACATAGGAGAGAATAGAGGGGGACTCCGAGGTCTGCGGACGCGGCAGATGTACCTTGAATTCTCCGTATAACAGTAAGCACTCTCAGCTAGTAGCAGGGCTGATAAGAAGTACCTGAATCTGCACACAAAAACATGTGTAGAAGAGTAGCATGAGTACACCACAACGGTACCCAGTAAGTGACAAATCCTAAGGGTATTTCCCCCACACAAGATTAGGCAAGCCACTTACCTCGAACCAAGCTCAATCAATCGGTAACAATGCCTTTTCCAAAAATATCAGACTGCGAATGGCCCAAATCTAGCCAAAAATCTATTACATACCATAAATACAACTATAAGAAATTAATCTAATTAATGAAATCAAAGCTAAATCAAGAATTTAGAAAATTGCCCCAAAAAGTCGACCCGGGCCCACATTTCGGAATAGGGTAAAAGTCACAAAATATGAACACCCATTCTCTCACGAGTCTAACCATATCATTATTGGAGAAATCCCAACCCCCAAACCCCAAAATTCACTCTCCAAATCCCTAGCCTCAAACCCCCAAATTTCACCTCAAAAACATACCAACTAGGTGGGAAATCAGTGGGGAAACATCATTATTGGAGAAAAATGAATACAAGAAGCTTACCTCAGTAAGCTCTTCAAAACCCCTCTCCAGAACCACAAAAGTCCGAGCTCAAAATGATGAAAATGGCCAAAATCTTGAAGTGTAGCTTAACTAGGTTCTGCCCATGCATTTCTGCACCTGCGGAGCCTGGGCTCGCACCTGCGCTCCTCCTCACTTCCGTACATGTGCTCCTCCTCACTTCTGCACATGTGCTCCTCCTTCCGCACATACGTATCCGCACCTGCGAACACCCCACCGCAGGTGCGATTACACCAGAAGCTTGAAAGCTTCAGCAACTCACACAAGTTCAATTTCGATCCATTAAGAATCTGAAACTCACCCGAGGCTCCCGGGACTTCAACCAAACATACCAACAATGCACATCAAACAATGCTAAAAACATGAATCACCCTCCGATTCAAACTTAATGAACTTGAAACATTAAATTTCTACAAGCGATGCCGAAACCTATCAAATCATGTCCGATTGACCTCAAATTTTGCGCACAATTCATAATTGACATTACGTACCTACTCCAACCTCAGGAATTGAAATCTGACCCCGATATCAAAAGGTCCACTACCGGTCAAAATCTCCAAAAATTTGACTTTCGCCAATTCAAGCCTAAATTAGCTACGAACCTCTAATTCACAGTCCGGACACGCTCCTAAGTCCAAAATCACCCAACGGAGCTAACGGAACCGATGAAACTCTATTCCGGAGTCATCTTCACATAGTTCTGACTACAGTCAAAATCCTAAGACTTAAGCTTCCGTTTTAGGGGCTGTGTCCCAAATCACGCCGAAACCACAACAAAACTTCCCGGTAAGTCTCATAAATAGAAAAAGATACGGAGGAAGCAGTAAATAGGGGATCGAGGCTAATACCCTCAAAATGACCGGTTGGGTCGTTACATCCTCTCCCTCTTAAAATAATCGTTCGTCCTCGAACGAGCATAGAGACATACTTGAAGTGGTGAAAAGATGAGGATAGCGGCTGCGCCTATCATGCTCGGTCTCCCAAGTCGTCTCCTCGATCGGCTGACCCCTCCACTGAACCTTCACGGAAGCAATATTTTTTGACCTCAGCTTTCGAACCTGCCTGTCCAAAATAGCCACTGGCTCTTCAACATAAGATAGATCCTTGTCTAACTGGACTGAGCTGAAATCCAACGCATGAGATGGATCACCGTGATACTTTCGGAGCATAGAAACATGGAATACCGGATGAACTCCTGCTAGACTGGGAGGCAAGGAAAGCTCATAAGCAACCTCCCCAACACGTCGCAACACCTCAAATGGGCCAATAAACCTTGGGCTCAGCTTGCCCTTCTTTCCGAACCTCATAACACACATCATAGGCGAAACCTGAAGCAAGACCCGCTCTCCAACCATGAATGCAACATCGTGAACCATCCGATCCGTATAACTCTTCTGTCTGGACTAGGCTGTGCAAAATCGATCCTGAATCACCTTAACCATTTCCAAATCATCCTGAACCAAGTCTGTACCCAATAATCTAGCCTCGCTCGGCTCGAACCAACCCACCAGAGACCGACACCGCCTACCATATAGAGCCTTATATGGTGCCATCTGGATGCTCGACTGATAACTGTTGTTGTAGGCAAACTTGACAAGTGGCAAGAACTGATCCCAAGAACCTCCAAAATCTATCACACACGTACGGAGCATATCCTCTAATATCTGAATAGGGCGCTCGGACTGCCCGTCCGTCTAAGGGTGAAATACTATGCTGAGCTCCACTCGAGTACCCAACTCATGTTGTACGGCCCTCTAGAACCATGATGTAAACTACGTACCCCGGTCAGAGATGATGGATACCGGTACGCCATGAAGCCTGACGATCTCGCGGATATAAATTTGAGCTAGCTGCTCGAAAGAATAGGTAGTCATCACAAGAAGAAAATGAGCTAACTTGGTCAGCCTATCCACAATCACCCAAACTGCATCAAACCTCTGCTGAGTCCGTGGGAGTCCAACAATGAAATCCATAGTGATCCGCTCCCATTTTCACTCCGGAATCTCTAACTTCTGAAGTAACCCACCTGGCCGCTGATGCTCATACTTCACCTGCTGGCAATTTAGACACCGAGCTACATACTCTTCTATGTCATTTTTCATCCTCTTCCCCCAGTAATGTTGCCTCAAGTCCTGATACATCTTCACGGCATCCAGGTGAATGGAGTACCGCAAAATGTGAGCCTCTTGGAGAATTAACTAACCCAGGACATCTACATTGGGCACACATAGCCTGCCCTACATCCTCAGTGCACCATCATCTCCAATAGCGACCTCCTTTGCATCACCGTGCTGAACTGTGTCCTTAAGGACAAGTAGATGGGGGTCATCATACTGATGATCCCTGATACGATCATAAAGAGACGACAGAGAGACCACATAAGCCAATACTCGACTCGGCTCAGAAATATCCAATCTCACAATCTGGCTGGCTAAGGCCTGAACATCCAACGCCAATGGCCTCTCTGCTGCTGGTAGATATGCTAAACTACCCAAACTCTCTGCTCGGTGACTCAAGGCATCGGCCACCACATTAGCCTTCCCCGGATGGTAAAACATGGTGATATCATAATCCTTAAGCAGCTCCAACCACCTCCGCTGATGCAATTTAAGATCCTTCTATTTTAACAGATGTTGTAAACTCTGGTGATTGGTGTAAATCTCACAAGGGACACCATACAAATAGTGCCGCCAAATCTTCAAGGCATGAACAATAGCTGTTAACTCAAGGCCGTGAATAGGATATTTCTTTTCATACACCTTCAGCTGTCTGGATGCGTAGGCAATCACCCTACCGTCCTGCATCAACACCGAACCGAGACCAATCTGCGATGCATCGCAATATACAGTATAAGACCCCGAACCTATAGGCAATACCAATACTGGGGTTGTAGTCAAAGCTGTCTTGAGCTTCTAAAAGCTCTCCTCACACTCCTCTGTCCACTTGAACGGAGCACCCTTCTAGGTCAGCCTGGTCATAGGTGCTGCAATAGATGAGAATCCCTCTACAAAACGACTATAATACCCCGCCAAACCAAGAAAACTCCGGATCTCCATAACTGATAATGGTCTAGGGAAACTCTGCACTGCTGCCACCTTCTTCGGATACACCGTGATCCCATCACTCGATACTACATGACCCAAGAATGCCACTGAGTCTAGCCAAAACTCACACTTTGAAAATTTTGCATATAACGTCTTTCCTCTCAAGGTCTGAAGTACAGTCGTCAGGTGCTGCTCATGATCCTCCCGAGTCCGGGAGTACACTAGAATGTCGTCAATAAACACAATGATGAAAGAGTCGAGATAAGGCTGGAACACACTGTGCATCAAGTGCATAAAAGCTGCTGAGGAATTGGTCAGTCCAAATGACATCACAAGGAACTCGTAGTGACCATACTGAGTCCTAAAAGCAGTCTTCGGGATATCTGGCTCCATCTTCAACTGATGATAGCCTGAATGTAAGTCAATCTTGGAAA